AGTTTCTGCCCTCCAGGAGTTTACAATCTATTAAGGGAAGACAATACACAAAAAGAGGCTGGAAAGGTGGGAGGAGTGAAACACAACAAGGGCATTCTTTAGTGGGCAATCTTGTTCCGTGGAGTTGAAACCTAGCAGAGTTGTAGATGGAAAGTGGAGTAAGCTAAAAATCCAATTCCTGTCCTCTAAAAAGGAGCAGTTTGGGAGGAATTTGGTGCTCCACCCTCCAGTTCTTGAGTGTGAGGGGAGAGGAGGCTAGATAGAGCATAGGACTTGGAGTCAGGAAGACTTGAGTTCAGATCCTGTCTCAGACACTTACTAGCCATGTAACCCTGGGTGAATCACTCTCTCAGCCTTAGTTTTCCCATCTGTAAAATCAGGATAATAATAGAACATACCTCTCAGGGTCATTGTGTGGATCAAATGAGATAACATATAAAGTGCTATGTTAATGAATGAATCAAAGCATTTATTAAGCACTTACTAAGTGCAGAGTACTGTGCTAAGTGCTGTGGATACAAATAGAAATATAAGGAATAATAGAAAAGTAAGACAGTGAGAGCCCACATTCTAATGGAGGAAGATAATATATATAGCAATGTTAGCTATTATTATTCAGTTTATTTCCTTTAAAACAAGAAGAAATTTTAATTCCTCTGGTCATGTAATTCCTCTTCTCAGAACTCTTCAGTGGTTCTAGCCTTTTGCTCACTGAATAAAGTTCAGATTTCTTTGTCTGACATTGAAGGCTCTTCACAATCTGTTACTGTTTTCTCTAGTCTTATCTCATATTATTTCTTGTTTATTAAAAATAAAATCTCTTTAGAAGAGTTAAATAAAGAAAAATGCTAGGCATAAAACCTAACTTCCCAAAATAGTAAATATAGTATTTAAAATTACTAGATTTAAAACCAAGGATTATCTTGGGTCATTATCTAATTTCTGATTAGGAATCCTGCATGGTAGTGTGAGTTAAAATTCCATGGTAAGTGATTTCATTATAGCAAAAACCTATTACCCCCACCCCCAAAAAAAAGATTTCCAAATCTTAATTGTTCATATACTTAAAGCAGTATTGGATACTTAATTCCACATACATTTGCACTGTCTTTGGAAGTTGTTATAATGTGATTAATCTCATAGAAGCAGACTTTGGAGGAAAGCAGCATGTGTTATAGAAAGAATATTACAGTTTATGGTCAGGGTTCAAATTCTGCTTCTTCTTGTTATCTGGGTAACTTCTTCTTGGGCATGTTAATTCTGTGCCTCAGTTTTCTCACTTTAAATTGAGGGAATTGGATCAGATGATTTCTAAGGTCCTTTCTGGCTCTAAATCTATGAGGCTACTCACTTCTAAACACCCTCCTAAACTGTTTGTTCCTTCCTCTCTGAGCTCTTGTCTAAAATATCTCAGCTTCCTTTCTTTGCCTGTTGAATATCTATCCATGTTTTAAAGTACAATTTACATGCCACCTCCTCCATGAGAAGCTTGTTTATTCTCCTCTCTTCCTGCTTTCATTAGTCAGGATCCATCCTGCTTTGATTTCATGTAACCTTTCGTACTATTCTCTTTAGTGTAGTCATTTATATGTGTTTCTCAATCATCTATCTCAATCCTGTTAGATTGTAAAAACTTTAGTGGAGAAGGTGCAATCTCTTAAATACACCTTTTAAAAAATTAATCTTATTTTGGGTTTAGTAAAAGGCTTGGCACACCATAGGGATTCAATGAATATTTGTTAAATGAATTGAATTTTTCCTCCCTGTGATGTATGGTTTTATCTTCTCCCCTTCTTTTACCTAATGCTAAGAAAATTAAAACTGCTTTCCTGAACAAGTAAAACCTGTGAACACTGAATGAGTATACCTTAAAGACTAGAGGAATATGTTGTTAAGTTCATACAGGTACTTATTAAAAATGATGGTGGCCTTCCTGATACATTTATTTTTTGGTGCCTACTTTTGCCTTAAACATTGTTGCTGTTCTGTAACGTTTGAGGGACAGTCTACAGAAAGGTGGATTACTTGATTTTAATATGCATGTATACAATGAGGCTAAAGCTGAAAGAAGCAATCTTTGGTGGCAGCTGAGCTGCTTACAAATAAATGATTTGGTAGTCTCATTAAAGAACAGCCCCAAGAATGACCCTGGAGTCAGGGTGTGATCTGCATCCTCAGGGAGCATGGGAGTACAATTCTAGGCTCCTAAAGAGTATGTCAATAAGACATTGAGTCTACCGTATCTTTTCCAACCAAAAGTTTGTCTTTCATATAAATTCTCTATTAAAATGTGTAGTTAGGGGATGAATAAACAATTCTAAGAATTGCTGAGATAGCTGGGTAAATATGGTAGGGGAGACTTTCTTCACAAAGCAACAACCTATTTATATTAAGATTTTTTTCCCCTTCAATCTCATTCTCAACTAATTTAAATGACCCACTTTTTCAGTTGATTGGAACGTGAATATGCTCAGGTTTGTTTTTTGTCCAGGAGTTAATTGCTAATTAGGATTATAAAGGATCATACGTTTAGAGCTGAATATCATTTATAATACCTTTCTAAGCATGAAAATTGTATTTTTTATATGATTCATTTACAGAATTTATGTACTACGTACTAACGTCCAAAAAGTCAGTTCATCCCCCCCCCAAAAAGTGATCAGTTCAATCTTCAACTATTTTTTCAATGCAAAATTTTCTTCTGCAATCTTTTGAAACATCTCCCTGTAGTGGTTGATATTTTACCCACAGTTTCCCCATCATTTGGTTTGGAATTGTACTTTTATTCAAATCTTATTGCCTTTTATTTATCAGACTCAGTTTTAGATGGATTCTTATGGCATTCTTAAAGCCAAAAAAAAAAAAAAACTAATCAAGACCAGAAAAAAGGGAAGTGTTATTAAATACATCAGTCTGGAAAGATAGATTGAGATGAACAAAGGTGCTGGGAGGCTGTCTGACTCAGATGTATGAGCTGAGCAACAACAGTCTGAGGATTTCACCAATATAAACAGATAACCTGTCTATTCAGTCAGGTGTATAATGTTCTTTTGTGTACTGTTTTTATTAAATTTCCATAATATAGAAACATATTTAAATTGTATTTTCACTTTACCTTTTTCTTTAAAAAATGTATGTGACTTGAATTCAAATTTAGAGCTTGGGAATGGAGAGAAGAATCTTCAAAAGAGGAAAGGAAAATGAAGAGTTCTTTGAGATGGTTTTTTTCCCTTAACCAACCTTTGTGGTTTTACATAGTTAGCCAATTAATTTGCTAATACTTCTTCCTATTACATATACAGAAAATCAATATACCTCTAGAAGGAGCCACTGAAGAATAGAATTGGCTTTTGAATTAAAGGAAAACTTGTTCATTTACAGTATTCAGAGCTTTCATGTTGAATTTAGAGACTTCAGGAAAGACTTAATCATATTATTTTTAAATCCACCTATGTAGTACGTGTCTCCCAGTGTTTTGAAAATCTAATATGATAATGCATGTCACATGCTTTGCAAATCTTAAAGTGGTACGTAAAAGTCAGATATCTTTGAGGTTCCTTCTGATATAGAATCTATGATTCTATGATTATTATAATCCTTTCATGAAATTGTGTGTAAAAGGACAGAGAAAAAATAAAATAATCATGGTAATTGAGAAAGAATCTTCCTAAAAAATCTGTGAACTAATTGATGCAAATATTATTATTCCTATTTAATAAATGAGGAAACTTATAGTTTAGAAAGGTTAATTGGTTCAGTGGCCATACATGTCAGAGCTGATAGTTGAATACAAGTTTCTTTAAGTCCAAAGTTCTGTGCCAAACCTTGGGACTTTGAGGTCTAATCCAATTACAGTTTTTTTCATGCCTCTACCAACACAGAGGAATTCCAGGCTTATGGCGTCACTAGGGGGAGCTAAAACAGTAGAAAATGGGAGTTTACAGCTTTCTTCAGGTTGAAGCCAAAGCATAAACCATAAAACAAAGCAGACATCACTTATTCCCTATATGAATACATGTTGCTCTTGCTCAAGAGGAAGAAACAAATTTTTCTGAGAGCTTAAAAAAAAGTTGGATGTTTCCCCTGATCCAACTCATTATTAGGTGGTTAATACAGGCTTAAAAATCATGGTTATGTGTACATACATATGCATCTTTTTCAATGCTACAGAAGGAAAAGTCAGCCCCTCTATGATTTATTAAATACTTCCTCGAGAATATCCTTAGGTGCATGGAATTTAATTGACTTGCTCAGGTTCTCACATCTAGTAAAGTCTAAGGATGAACTTGTGTCCATGTTGCACTGACTCCAGACTGGACACTTTATCCACTGTGGGTGACCTTTGTAGTTTAGTCCTTCTTGTAGGTTAAAGATTAGTGTTGATATTTCCCCAGTTGGTGATTATTTCAACTTAGCTTTAGAAGTGTTCTGTAGGGTAATAGCTATCCTCAAAATACTGCAGGTTAACTTTAGAATGTAATATAGTATAGCAGCTAGAATGCTGGACTAGAGGCCAGAAAGACCTGTTTTCACTTCCTGTTTTTAACACTCTTAATTAAATGACCCTCTGTTTTCTCATATGTAAAATGGGATAAGTATAACTCTAATGCCTATCTCACAGGGTTGTTGAGAGGATCAAATGAGATAACATATGGAAATGATGTTAAAAACCTTATAAATTCTAACAGTTACATTATTCATTTATAGAGTAAAACATCCTGACTTTAGAATAAATGTATTGAATTAGTGTGTGCTAGAGACACTCAGCTTAGTATTTTCCCTATTGTGAAAAATAGCTCTTGAAGGTCTCACTCATGCATGCCCAGTCTTCTGTTACCAAATTCATTTCTGTATTTTCCCAAGTGATAATAATCTTTAAGACAGACTGAACATTAATATTTATAGGAAGCACAGCACATGTTTTTCTTTATATAGGTTTTTCTGCCTCTAATTTGTTCCTGTGTTAATATCCTTTTAAAAATTCTTTTTTTTTCCTGCAGAGAAAATGAAGTACTGAAAGTACAACTAAAGAAGTATGTGGGAGCTGTCCAGATGCTGAAAAGAGAAGGACAAACTGCTGAAGGTGAGGAAAAAGGGGGAAAAAAACAGATAGTATAGGCCATAACATGGGCAGATTTGTTTCATGAAAACTCCTTTTAAAAATTCTTGCAAGCTGTTATTAATGTAACAAGAGCATTATACTGGGGGCTAGGAGATCTTATTCTAGTCTCACTGTTGACCTTGGGAAATTCACTTAACCCTGTGTGCTTCAGGTTTCTGTCCTGTAAAATGTGGGCTTTTTACCTTATAAGAATCTTTCTAGTTCTTAAATTCTATTAATTGGTGAGGGGACATTCATTTTCTGAGTTATTAACTAGCATGCCTACAGTCTCTTAAAGCTTAGATCTGAAGAATTTTTAAAATAATAAACCTTGGAAAATGATGATGAAAAGGCAAATGGTTATCTGTCCTCATGTTCCAAATCCAGAAAATCAGGTAGACACAAAATCCAAACTCACACAGAGCAGAAAGAAAAATTTTCTGCTTTTGTTTTTGGCCCTTAGTTAGCCATCACAATTTTTATTAGATTTTTCTCAAAAAATCATCAGGAAAGGAACTCTTGACTTTGATTTTAATAATAGTAATAATACTTATCATTTCTATGGCACCTACTATGTGCCAGGCAATGTGCTAAAAATTTTAGAAATATTATATCATCTAATCCTCACAACAGCCCTGCAAGGTAGGTACTATTATCCTCATTTTACAGTTGAGGAAACTGAGACAGCCAGAGATTAAGTGACAGCTAGTAAGTGTCTGAGGCCAAATTTGAATTCATCTTCCTATCTCCAGGCCCATAACTCTATCTGTTGAACCACCTAGCTGCCAATAGAATCTAAGATAACTCTCACATTTGGTACCTGAGAAAGACACTAAATGTATCCATAAACAATATGACTTTCTATAAGGAATGTTTTAACAAGAGAATTTAAGATTATTTTTTGTGGTCATATTCTCCAGTAGTACTGTGTGGACTTGCCACCTGATAGAGGAAAATAGGATTTGAATCTGGTTATGCCTTGTGACATAAACTCATTAAATTGTACAAAATCCAAACTGAGTTTATCCTGAAGATTTGATTTCATTTAGTTTAAGTTTGATACTGGCTAATCTGTAATGTTTACATTTATACAACATGATTAACTCAGGAACAGTTTATAACAGTTGACATTCACAATAAATTCAATACATAACCTGACAGGTAAAGTACATATCAAAAGATATTGACAATGAACAACCCTTGAGTTAAATTGATTTACTAAGAGGTCAAAGATGAGGAGAAGAGGAGAGCAGCTAGTGTAGGTGAGATGGCTTGGGAGAAAGTTAAAGGGTTAAAGGGTTTGGAGGTCACAGTGCTTATGAAAAAGAAGGGTTTTGTAAGGGAAGGCAGGGGGAGAGGTGAAAAGCTAATAGATTTTGGTCAGATAAGGAGATTTCATAATTCTTGAACATAGAGGTGGTACATTTGTGGGTAAAGGATTTTGGTTGGGTAGTAGATGTCAATAGCATGAACTTCAAAGGAAGAGAGGTTACTAAGTGAAAGCAAAAGGGAGAACGTAGAAACACTAAATTGGAACAAGTAGTATTCCAACTCCCCACCTCAACTAGTGAGCTAAGGATGATGAGTGAAAGTGGCCAGGGAAGCTGTGTCATCAAGGGGAAACCAGGTTTCAGTAAGAGCTAGTAGATGGAAGGAGTGGAAAAAGAATAGATTTAAGATGAAGGGAAATCCATGTCTTGTGGAACAGGTTAGATGGAGTTAGGAAGTGGAAGGGCTGGTAGAATTGGGCTGAATCTTTGGGATGGAAAGGTTGAGGGGAATGAGAATGAACAATCACATGGTAGGGGAAGTAATACAACTTGCCCAAGGTCAAACAAGTGTCTCAAGTAGACTCAGATTCAAACTTAGGTCTTCTTGCTCTTAATTCAGAACTCTTTTTATTATGGTAATTGATTTAGGGAGACTATAACTTTACAAATTCAAAACAGATTTTCAAGGTTGGACATAGAGAGATCATTCCAGGTATGGGTGGTGGTATTCAGTCTTTTTCATTTGTGTCTGACTCTTTCTGAGTCCACTTGGGCTTTTCTTGGCATTGATATTAGAGTGTTTTTCCATTTGCTTCTCCAGTTTATTTTACAGATGAGAAAACTGAGGCAAACAGAGATAAGTGATTTTCCCAGGGTCACATAGCTAGTAAGTGTCAGCAGCCAGATTTGAACTCAGAAAGATGAGTTTTTCTGACTCGAGGCCCAGCACTCTATCCACTGCACCACCTAGCTGCCCAAATATGGGTGATCACCCATGCAATGGCACAGGTTAGGAAGGTGGTATGTCATGTTTGAGGAGTAGAAAGGATTATAGAGTTTGTAGGGGGTGAGTAAGGTATAAGAAGACTGCGAAAGTGTGGATGGGGGTAGGTCATAAAGGCCTTTGAACTCCAGATAGAGGATTTTCTGTTTCATCCTGGAGGTGATAGGGAGCCACTGGAGTGTACTGAAGAGGGGGAGAAGGAGTAACATGGTCAGACATGTGCTTTAGGAGGATTGCTTTGGTAACTTAGTCGGGGATGGATTGTATTTTGAGGCAAAGAGACAAACTAGCAGGTTATTGCAGTCGTCCAGGCATGAGGTGATTAGGGCCCACACAAGGGACTGGCAGGGTCAGAGGAAAGAAGGGGCTTTCTAAGAGACTTGTTGTGAAGGTAGAATTGATAGGACTTGACAACAGATGGGATATTATTGTCAACGTTTTTATTTGGCAGATTGGACTTTTGAATTGCAAACCTCCTGCTTTTTCTTTTGTACTGTATTACTTTTTATGTTCAGTGTGAATTAACTTTGCATGACGTTCAAGGAGATGACTCAAAAGGAGCTAAGTAAGTCTTTATACTCTTGGGGAATTGTGGTGTGGAGTAGCCTGTAAATAGTCTTCCAGTGCACACAGTGACTTTTTGAGCATTTATTCCAAGGGTTAACAGTGATGTTTTGTGGAAGGGCTTTGTTCATGGAGACATATTTATGTATCTATTGTTGCTTGATCTCAAAGATCACATTGATGAAACTAAAATCCCCCTTCTTTTCATCAGACCATGGACTTTTTTGCTTGTTTGAGTTGAGCTTGGGAGTTTATGTATGTCTTTGGCTATATGCCAAGTACTGTCACCAATATGTGCATGATTTTGTACAAACAAGCCAACCTATCTGTGTCAAGGGCCATTATAAGCTTAAATGAAATGCTTTAATTTCTTTAGATTTGTTTTATTTATTCTAAATATTTGTCCCAGTGTCAAAAAACCTTTCCCTCTTTCTCCCTCCTCTCTCTATCTGGGCATGTTCAGCTTTGTTTTGCATCCTTGGTGTAATAAGTCCCTATTCCACAGTGATTAATTTCAAAATTATAAGCTTTCATTGGTGGATTCATTTAATTAAACTGTAGTAGGCATAGGGATACTAGGGAGGAGAAATGGCTTGTTGGTAGAAGCAATCTCAGTAATCAGCAACAAGAAGAGAAGGAAAAATGGAGTGATTTGATGGATGAGGAAGCCTTGGAAACAATTTAAAATGTTGTTTAGACTATAGTAGCTCCAAGAAACAAAAGGAAAAAGATCCCAACTATCCATTCTTGTGTCACTGCTGATTTGTTGCATGTTTGGTAATCAACCAATTCTGTACTTTCATAGATTCCATACATTTTCTGTAGAAATGATTTCCCTGGGCTCTCAGGAACTAGGTCAGAACAACTTAGGAGGTCTATAATACATGGAGACAGATGATCTTGTGGGTACATGCTCTCAAAGCTTTCATGATTTTTTAAAGCAAAGCACATATACTTTTTTTTTTTTGAGCTAGCTCAGGCTTATATTTCTAAGTGCCAGTTAGACAAGGTAGATGCATAAATTCACATAAGTATTAAGTGGAAGAGCCAAGATTTGAACCCAGAGCCTCTAACTTTAGATCCAGAACTCCTTTCACTGTCTACACTACTATGGCTTTTTAAGTGTCCCAGGATTAAGTGCCAGAATCTAGATACAAATGGGAGTCCCAGAATCCTTGCTTTCATAGCTATGTGAGGTTGGGGAAGTAATTCACTTCTGTGGTCTTGTAAGATAAGACATTTGGATTAGATAATCTTAAGTCTCCATCAGGTACTACATCTCATGACCTACATCATAACAATGATAATAATAATAATGTGGCATTTAGATGCATTGTCTCATTTTTTTTTGCCTTTGAATAACCCTCTTAGATTAGACATTGCAGATATTCTTATTCCCATCTTACCAATGAGGTTTCAGAGAGGATATGATTTGATACAGGTGGTATCACAAGCAGAATTTGAATCCAAGTCTTCGTACTCTTAAGTTCAGCATTTTGTCCACTTGATGCTGCCTCTCAGTGAGAAGCTGACATAATAGTATGGCATTGTGAATAGAGATCAGTTACTCTGTTATTATTAAGTGCCTCCTGTATGTCACGTACTGTTTTAGTCACCGGGGATACAGAGTAAAAAGAATGATACAATCCCTGCCTTCGAAGAGTTTACTTTCTTTTGAGAGAGACATCATGTGCATATATAAAACTACATACAAATTAGATGAAAAATAAATTCAAGATGATTTTTTTGGTGGGGAAGTACTAACTAGTAGTTTTGTGGGACCAGGAAAGCTTTTGTGTTTAAAGTGGCTGGGACTGAGCTTTGAAAGAAAATGGAGAGTCTAAGAGGGGGAAGCATGGAATACATTCCAGGAGTGGGGGTATAGTCTCAATTGAGTCCTAGAGGTGAGATAGAAGGCTATGAAGAACAAAAGGAACAGTTTGGGTGGACTGAGAGTATGTGAAAAGGACTAACAAAAAAGGGTGAAAAGGTCATTGGCACCAGGTTGTGGAACATTTTGTATGCAAAATAAGAGAAGTTTGTATTTGCTTCTAGAGGAGAGATACTGGAATTAATTGAGCAAGGAAGTGACATAGTCATATGTGTGCTTTAGGAATATCACTTTGGCAGTTCTGTGAATGATG